AAGCACATCCAACACTCTGTCCATAAAAAAGGAACTCTTAAAAATAGAAAGGGATGGAGAGGATGGTGACTTTCATCGAAAAGTCAATAATTTTCAACTTAAAGTTCATGATTTTTCCGTTTGAACTCACCGGAGGATTCATCGAAGAAGATCACCGAAAAAGAATCATGAGAAAGATAATGATTTCTATTGAAAATTCTATGACATATATGTATAAAATTCATGATTACATTGTCTATATTTTTCAAAAGTTCACCGAAGAAAATGATTTCTTAATCTTTGTCTTCTCTATTCTCGCCGGAGAACTACCAACAACCACCACAAAGTTATTTTTATGTCTCATATCATCAATAACATATTTTATTAATCAATTACACACAAAAAATACTAATTAAAATGCTTGATTTACATACATACTTATCAAGATTCTTAAAGAATTTTACAAATCTGAAATTTTTATTTGTTCCATCGGTCGTAATGTTGTTGCCCATCGCCTATCACCGTTGCCAACATCTCAATACTTCATAATCGACTGACTCCTATTTTCTCTTCAAATTTTTATTTTTCCCTTCAATTTATGAACAATGAAGAAGAAAGAAGAAATAGATTTTAAAAAGAGATATGTATGGTGAGAGAAGGAAGATGTCCAGATTTTTATTTTTTTACAAAAGTTAAGGAAAATATCAAGAAAAAAGGTTCTAATAATTTAAAATAATACTATTATTTATGTGTGAAAACGCATGTACAACACTTTTTTACACAAAATTGATATTGTCTTCGAAAGGGAATATTAATATCACTTTGAACAAAATTAAGTGTGTAATAGTTTGCCACAATAATTTGAGCATGTACCTAACTTTTTGGCACAACTTTAGAGGAGAATTTATGCTTTTTCCCTAAAATAAAATATGGTAACACTAAAAGAAGAATATTCACCAAACAAGACAACAGTTAACCACCATATACATGTTCAAAAAAATATTTAAAAAATAAAAAAGAAAGAGAGAAGAGTTTAAATCAATTTTCATGTTATGTTTTATTATTTATTCTTTATATAATAAAGAACATGATGTACGGTTAAACCATTTTTTTTATTATGTGAAAGAAGAGCCCTGGTTGGATTCACAAACACAATATATGTACATATACATACTCACAAAGCTTTCATCCCCTGTTAAACTTCGTATAGGGACGGATTTAGAATTTTTGTTATGAATACAAACAAATTCAATCATATTTACCTGAACTATATTTTATATAGGGGTAGATAGGTAGATGTTTAGTCCGATTATATGAATTTGATTGAATTCAGTATCTTTTATTCTACCGGGTTTATAAAAAAACTCATCAATATATATAGTTAAACCTCTCTATTGAACATGTTTTACAAAAAAATTTATAATTCCTATGGTCTAATATGTGTCTATCCAAACAAAATGAAGGATTGAATTGAGATCTACGTTTGATGTATCACATGATGTATGTAAAAATTATGGTGAAATTTAAAACAAAAAGATATGTATATGTTACAAATTATATATGGAATAAATATTGCGAGAAATAGATACCTACTCTAGTCTAGTGGAAGGTGGATAGTGTAAAAAATGATGCTAGAAAATAGAGATATTTTGTGTTAATTACAAATGTTCTACAAAGTGTCTATATATGTACTATCAACTATAATTTTCTCAAAATATATTATAAAAGAACCGCGTAAGAGTTTTGCAAAGTTCTTCTAGACTATTAAAGAAGAAGATCAAGCATCGGGTCTCCTCATCTAATACATGTCTACCTAAACATGAGGGAGGATTGGATTTCAGATTCTTGTTTGAAGTATCCCAAGTCATGTATGCAATACTATGATGAAAATTTAGGATAGAAAAATCTCTATAGACAATTATATTTCAGATACATCACTGGACTTCCAGATACATCAGTAGACATTCGGATACATAGGCGAGGAATGTATCAAAGAGCGGAGGGATGTATTAGATAGGGGATAGGACATCCGGATATATAGGAGAGGGATGTATGTGAGAGGTCGGAAGGAATGTATCAAAGAGGGGATGGATGTATCTGAGATGGATAGGGATGTATCAACGAGAGTGAAGTGATGTATTCGAGAGGGATTTTTGAGATTTTTTTTTAATGTTAGAGAATATTACAGATAATGGTAAAATAAAATGTGTATTTAGATATTTTTTCCTCATTTTGATAGCTGAAATAAAATTCTAGCCCATCGACTTTTTGCCCAAAAAAACAAAAAAGATGTAATTTTTTCGTGTCAATTAGGGATGGATGACGAATAAACCCAACATACTATTAGTTGAACTTAATAACATTTGCTCAAACAATATAATTATAAATATTAAATTTAGAGGCCTAATTATTATATTTAAAATAGTTATTTTAAAACCTAGAATTTATAAAATTAAAATTTTAACTCCGTCAATAATGTCAATTGACAACTAATGCTTCCATTTCTGTGGACCTTGCAAGGTTTACCTACCAGATGGCTGGTGGCTATCGATGGAAAATGACATAATCTCTGATAAAACGTTTTTTTTTAAAAAAAAAATTATTTGGTGTCTGATATTTGTATTGAAATTTCATTATTTTGAATTTGTACTGCACAACACCTCATTTGGAAAGAAACGATTTCTATCAAGAATTTTTTTCATACTCAGGTCTCGAACATGAACTTCTAGTTATAGGAGTTGCAGCCTCATCTACTGTTCGACATCCGTTGATTGTCTAATCACAAAATATTTTTCTTATCTAGTGGTGTCTGATACTTATATTGGAGCTCGATTAATTTAAATTTGTACCGAGCCTCATTTAAAGAGAAATTCTCTCTATCAAGAATATTTTCATACTCAATACTAGTAGTCGAATATGAAATTTAACTTGCCCCACGTCCTTGATGGTCTGACAAAATGTTTTCACTCCTATTTAAACAAAAAAAAAAACGTGTAAGAAATTATTTACTCACACAGTATTTTTGTGATTATTATTTTTTATTTCATAATTGTTTAATAAAGTTTTGAAGAATAATTACTTACTATACTTTATCTGTTTCATTTTGTATGATATTACTATTTTTTCCTTTTTTATATATTTTTAAAAGTTATTTCATTTTAAAATTCTTTTTCGTTTTAATGATATAAGTTTATACTAGTTATATTTGTAATGTCATGATAAATTTAAAATCATAAATTCTATAAAACAAATCTTAAATTCTATTTCTAATTAAAAACATTTCACATTAAAGGAATAAACCTTCTTCAACGCAAAAAAGACGAGCATCATGTACACATAATCCTATTTTCTCATCAACCAAGGTTATGATGGGATAAATAAAAAAAATTCACTCTTAGTTAGAATTTTTAAGTTCGAGTTTTATATTTATTTTTTTTCAAATAAGCTTAAGTTTTTTTTCCTTACACAATGCAAATTTAAATTAATCAATGCTCCAACACAAATATCATATATCGCAGAGACAACCAAATTAAGAATTCGGAGTCAAAAGAGTCATTTTTTAAGAAAAATAATAATACTAAAATGGACAATTTGTTTGAAAAAAATAATATCAAAACAACTCCCTTTATCTGATGGCTTGACCAAACGGCCGTTTGACTTCTTTTTTTCTAGAATTGTAAAATTAGTATTCTAATAGTAATAATTAATAAAACCAATGACTTTTAATATATTTTTATTTTTTAACTAATTTTTGTTCGTTTGGTACTGCAAACAAAAGTTTTTTCAAATTAAAGTAAATTAGTCATGGAATTTTTCATACTAGTACTCCCTATATGCATTTGAAAATATTCTTTTCACTTCTTTTGAGTTTTTGTTTGGAATGGAATATAGTCATGAAGTTTATTTATTGCAATTTGCAAGTGGTTCTTCTTGGACTCTTTTTAATTATTTGTTTGACTTATATAGTACTATTTCTTATATAACTAGTCATTGTTAAATATTTGAAACTGTTGGAATATTTTAGAATTTCATTTCTGTTTAGATTGTTGATAATAATTCAACTTTTTGTGGTATAGTTAAATTCTTTTATCATATATTTGAAAATTGATACACAAAATTTTAAAAGTAAAAAATCCATAAATATACATTAGAAAAATGGAAACTGAAAACTGAAGAGATGTCAGTATTGGAAAGAGAAAAATAATACATCCTCTCAATTTTATTTATCACATTTAGATTTAACACACTTATTAAAAAATATAAGTACTACTTTAATATGATTATTTAATACAGTATTCCTATTAGTTGATATTTAAGATTAGGTATTAAAAAATAAATTAAGAAATAAGTAAGTATTACTAACGCTAAAAATATGAAATAAAATTAATTATATTTTCTTAATAAATTAAAAATGATAAATAAAAGTTATTTTTTCAAAACGGTGAACAAGTAAAAATCGAAACACTGACCAACTATTGCCCATGACATACATACGTTTGTCGTTCTCCCATCATGACTTACCATAATCGTCCTCATTTGCGGAATTAGTAAGGATCCAAACGATTTTATCTAAACTTTTTTCATAAAAAATTATATTTTTTTTATACAAAGTTAAAATTATATTCTAGATATATATATAGAAATTATTGAATTTCTTCAAAAAAAAAATTATGCGTTTACTTTATAATATTTGAACTCTATAATGAAAATTTCACTTCTACTCTTGATCGTGCTAGTGCTTCCATCCACGACCAGATTTATTCCGCAAGGTACCCTATAACTCTACAAACACACAAACCTATTGTGTTGCTAAACTAAGTTATGCAGACTCTTCACTTTTGATATTGAGTTTTAAAAAAATATGTTATTTTTAGAGAATCCAACACACATATCCAATGGAGTGACAGTGACCTTTTTGTCTCGGAACTCAAAAAAAAACAAATTCATTTTAAAGTAATGCTGTGCGCCTTTTATATATGTATGTCTGCTGTTTTTTCCCACTGCAAATCTAATTTGCCTGCCGATGCTGTTTTCCCAGTTTCTCAACTAATAATTACAGAGTGTGAAGTTTCTATTTTCTTCGAATAAGAAAAATGGAAGAATCTTCCTCTCTTCACTCTTTGAAAATAATGCATGAACGCAAATTGCTCAACCGAATATTTGTCTCTCTATACGGATTTGCCATTATAGCTTTGTTCTACCACCACTTGCTCACATTAACCGCAGTTCCCCCGCGCGGCCGTCTGTCGATTTTCATGTTGATATCCGATTTCATTCTGGCATTCATGTGGTTCACATCACAATCATTCTTCATGAACCCAGTTACTCGTCAACAGTTCCCTGGAAACCTCAAACAATGGGTGGACAATAACGATTATCTGGCAATTGATATATTCATATGTACGGCGGATCCGTTCAAGGAGCCGCCGTTGACTACTGTTAACACGGTTTTATCTGTTTTGGCTTATGATTATCCGATGGAGAAACTTTCGGTTTACGTATCGGATGACGGAGGATCGAAGCTCATTTTGTTTGCTCTAATGGAAGCGGCGGAATTTGCACAGAATTGGGTGCCTTATTGCCGGGAAAATAAGATCGAGCAGAGGTGTCCGGAGGAGTATTTCCGGCGAAACCATACTATAACTTCTCAATTTCAGATTATTGAGGTAATTAAAAGCATTATGATTAATTAATTTTACTCTTATATATATCTTTATTACTTCTCCCGTTAATGTTGTGATATTCGAAACTCAATTTAATTAATTTGCAAAGTTAAATTAAATTACAGTAATTCAATATTTTAAATAAAAAATTTATATATTAAAATATTATACAAAAAGTATTGTAAATTGCAATTTTTTGTAGTAATAATATTAGTAAAAGATTTTATGGTTTGACTCTAAAAAGGAAATTATAACAATTAAAAGTGGACGAGTATTAGATAGAGGAATATATAACCATAGATAGACATGCCTATTATTCCTTTGGTCAGAATTCCGTTAAGTGTTCGACCTTTTCACAAAATTTAATGCTGGAATGGAAATATTGATAACTTGTGATTTTAACAAATTATAAATATTTTATGAACCTATATACATATGGTCTCATTGAAGATAAAATGTAAAACTAAATTGTTATTAAATATAAAAAATATTTCTCTTTATGTGTCAATTATGTGATACATTTTGAATTTTGATATTTGAATAAGTCTATTTTTGATCGTAAATTTTTCATATATTTTTTAAATATTTGGAATTATCAATTATTATGAGTTATAGTACTTTTTACATAGTTAATAAATATATAAATTTCATTTTAATAAATTTAAAGATTTCATGAGCAAATTATCGGTCAAACTTAAGCTGCTTGAATTTCGAAAAACGAAATCTATCACATTACATTTTCTACCTTCTTCTCAATTCTATATACTTGGAATCGTTTGATTGAAAATAAATTATCTCAAAATTAATTATTTTAAAATAAATTATTCTGAAATAAGTTATTCTATCATAAAGATAGGATAACTTATTCATTACTAAGATATAAATAATATGATAGATAATTCTAAAATTATTTAATGCCTCTAACCAAACATAAAATAAAATAATCCTACAATTTATACCTAAAACTTTATATCTTATACTTTACATCAAACTATTTCATAAATCTCCTATCCTACTATAATAACACCAGTCAAACTATTGGAGGTCATCATTGAAAATAGCATTAGATTCTCTTGGATTATAATATAATGTTTTTACGTGCCAAGGAAAAGTAGGAAAACGCCCCAATCATTTTCAAATAATATTTTGCCAACCGACACTTATAGGATACAGAAAGGACACAAAAATCAATAAGAAATAAATTGTGCTTAGAATATAAACAAAATTGGAGGCATTTGGCCCTATCTTTTCATAATTTCAAATTTTTAAAGAATTTTGAAAAATAATAAAAAGATATTTTTTAATTTAAAATTACTCACAAATAGTCAAAAACAACTACTCACAAAAAGTCAAAAAGATATTTTTCATTTTGAAATTTTTTTTTTTTTTTAAAATTTCACAATAAAACATGACCAAATACGTATGGACTAACAAACCCATGTAAAAGTAATTTTCAATCACGATTGCTACATTAAATCAGAGCAATTCCTATGTCATCGTCTGAAACTTGATGTATATTTTAATCTTACACTATAGGGTCGTTTGATAGAGTGTAAAAAATATTGCTTAAAATAAAATGTGTAAGTAATGGTTGCATTAGCGATACATGTATAAGTTATACTTGTATTAATTATACATAGAGTATTTTTACACATTGTTTGATTTGATGTATTAAAAATAACATGCATTGCATAAAAAAATTATTTACGTTCAAAGATACTCTCCATTATTATGGTGAAAAAAATGTAAAAAAAGATTTTGAGGGGCAATTGAATTTTTAATCATGCTAATGCATGCATTAAAATCACTGCATTGCTAATTAATATCTAGAAATCGATGATATTAGTAATACACATTTTAATACACAATAGAGTGTATAACTAATGATAGCATTAGTTATACTTAGGTTGGAAAGGAGTACCAAACAAGGTACTAGTAATACACAAGCCTAATGCATGCATTATTTTTCCTAATACACTCTACCAAACTATCCCTACTTATATGGAAGAAACTAGATTAAAAGTAATTGTTAAAATTATTGTATCTTGTTTGATAAATAGAGACATAAATAGAGAAGCAAATTTTCTTTTAAGGGAAAAAGAACAAATATACCCTAGAACTATTATAAATGATATCTAAATATCCTTCGTTATACTTTTAGGACACTGATATCTTTGCCGTCTAAATTTTAGGGTGTATATACCCTTTGGACTAACGGAGGGACACTTGTCTCTATCCAAATGATTTTCTAAATTTAATTTAATTTTAGTATTTTACCTTTAATTAAAAAAACCCACATTAAAACACCCGACCCAATTATAACCAACAGCATAGCATATCCATCAAATTGGAACCCAAAACCAATCCTTCCAATACCACCACGACCATCGTCAGCGACACCATTCTTCCTGTTTCTGCCGCAGTATGTATAAGAGCTTCGAAAGAGCGGTCTGGTGATCCATCCTCAAAGATTTCAATTCCATCCCAGTCAATTGACCACCGTCGACAACTGTAGATGTTTATTGGATCTTCATTTTCTTCAGTTAGTTTTACACAATATTCAACTGAACCATAAGGCAAACGAAGAAATACTATCTACACCATTTTTTTTTCATAGCCATAATCGGATACCAAAATTTGAATTTTGTACGATTAGAACAAAATCACAACTCAAATGTTATTGAAGTTTTCAAACAAAAAATTAAATAGCAGAAGCCTAACGAAGACTATAAGCCAGTGGCGGATCCAAGATTTACAGTTATGGGTGCTCACTATTTAATATAAACTTGTATTAACCAAAGAGCGTAATTGTGCACTAATATTCCTCAAGAAGAGTGTTTTTTTTTATAAAAAAAAATCAATAGTCGATCAAAATTCTTTGAATTGGTTCAAGAAAAAAAAAAGGAGCAATATATCTTCACGTACGATTGTAATTACCAAAAAGGCAAACCAACGAGAAGGAGGATTTTTTTGCTTTTGAGTTGGAGAACTTAAATGAAGGCTCTAGAACATAATATTTTTCCCTTCCCTTTTCATTTTCCCTAATTAGACTGGCGAGAAAGAAAGAGTAAATAAACATGGAAAATCATGATTAAGTTGCATAATAGACATGGGCAGTGACCACTCCAAGATTCTAAGATCGTGATTGCTTCTTTAACTATCAATCACAAAATATAAATGCGCAAATTTAACACTGATCATAAAAATGATATTTAAATTCGATAGCGGAAAAAAATTAATAAAAAACTAAAGTAAAAATATATTGAAAAAGGGAGAAGGAATTTTGCAACTTTTGTATAAAATTTAATTTAAGAAAAGTCAGTGGGACAATGTGAAAGGAAAAATAGATCAAGGACAAAAGTAAATAAATAAAGGAAAGTGTAATTGGAAATTAAAAGGTAGAAAGAGAAGAGTTGAAAAGGTAGAAATAATGTGTTTAGAGGGATTCGAACTCGGGCTGAGAAGCAAAATGTAAACCTTGAGCACCCACTTTCAACCAACACGCCAACAGAATCATTTGTTGCATGTGTGCTCATCTTTAATTTTATACGATTTTGTTTTAATTTCTATATATAGTTCAATACGAGGTTAATGGGTGCTCGAGCACCCGAAAACCTCCATGTGGGTCCGCCCCTGCATAAGCATAGCTAGACCATTGAGAATTCGGAATGAGGTTCTACTTCGATCTCTTCTTATCTTTAATTTGGCTCTTCCTCTTGAGCCTCCTCGTACGCTTCTTCTTCCACGTAGCTTTCATCCCGAATAGGTGAATATTGAATAGTAAATTGAGAATATTCCGGCGTGCTAACAAGCTATAAACTCATATCATCTTAACAAGATTTGGACTTTGGAATGTTAGTGTGAGGAAGAATGATGAAGTGTCTTTTGGGTGATTTGGGGTTATAATTGGGTTAGGATATTTTAGGTTGGGTCATGGGTGGGTCAAATGGTGGAAGTTGGGTGATTTTTTTTTTTAATTGTGAATAAAATTAAATTAAATATGGCTGTATTGTTTAGATGGTGTCACGTGTCCATCCGTTAGATTCAAGGATATACACAACCCAAAAGAATGACTGTAAGGGTATATACAACCTTAAAGTAATTGACATATCATTTTTTATTGTTCGAGGGTATATTTATCCCTTTTCCCTTCTTTTAAATGAAAAATGCAAGAATTATTATGTTCTTAATAAAAGCTTTGAACATTAATGTAGAAATAATTATTATGCAATTCATTATTAGAAAATAAGAAATTAGTGACGGATAAAATTTAATAACTTAACAACAAAAATTTCATGCTAATGTCATTTAACTACATATTATATTGTACACGAATTCAACTGAGTTGGATCAAGTAACTTATGAATATCAAAAAGTTAAGTAATATGCATTATTATAATGTAGTTCCTAACTTTTAATTTATGTCATGATGTGATTATGTAGAATTTGTACTTGGACATGAAGATGAGGATAGAGAATGTTGCTGAGAGAGGTGAGGTTGTTGATGAGTGTATTAGTGACCCACAACAACGTCAAGCTTTTAGCAAATGGACCAAAGGATTCACTCCCAAAGATCATCCTGCTATAATCCAGGTTGCTTTGGCTTTTCGGTATTTGATATCATAAGTGGTTTATTGTGTTTAGGTGATTCCACCTTCTTGTTATTATTATGATTCCTTGCATATATATATTTCGAATTACTTGCTATTAGTTGTCATGTTTTTCCCACTATCATTCTCCTTCCCTCCCCTCCCCTCCCCCTCTTCGTATAATTATTGTTTTGATTTGCTTGAATCGATGGTCTTTCAGAAATAGATTCACTACCTCAAAGGGATAATGATAAGGCTTGCGTACACTTTATCTTCTCCAAATCTCATTTTATATTACGAGACTTCACTGAATATGTCTTTGTGTGAGATTATGTGGCACTATATATTGTTGTTGATGCATATTTGATATCATATGTGGTTAACTGTGTTTAAGTGATCCCACACTGTTGTTATTATTACAGTTCCTTGCATATATATTTCGTACTACCTTGCTATTAGTTGTCATGTTTTTCCCATTATCATTCTCGTCATCCCCTCCCCTCCTCATATAATTATTGTTTTGATTTGCTTGAATCGATGGTTCTTTAGAAATATCTTTTCTATCTCAAAGAGATAATATTAAGGCTTGCGTACACTTTATGTTCTTCAAACCCCACTTTATATTATGCGATTTCACTGAATATGTTGTTGTATCAGATTATGTGGCACTATATATTGTTGTTGATGCACATAAAATTGAACTTTTTAGTTTCAAATCATGTGGCACCCAACCATGCACCAACACAAGGTGCAATTTGTGCTTAGGAAGCTAATGATCAATTTGGCACATAGTTTACAAGCTAACATAACAATAATGTGTAACACAATTTTCGTAAATGTCACAATTCTTCATAAAAGTCACATTCTTTCATTTTCTATTCATACCTTTTAAAATCCAACATAATGTACGTCCAGAGGGGTGGACCTTACTATTAAATGAGGTGGACCCAGTCCTTTTTAAGTAGGGACAAGAAAAATCTTGTTTATGACTTTTGCTACTCTTTTAAACAGGTATTATTGGAAAGTGACAAAGATAAAGACATCAAAGGTTACTCAATTCCAAATCTCATTTATGTATCTAGAGAGAAAAGCACAACCTCACTTCATCATTTCAAGGCTGGGGCACTCAATGCTTTGGTAAGAAACAAAGGAAAAGCCCATTTTTATTTGTAGCATTGTGATAATTGATACTCGTTTGTTCTTGAGTTGTTGAGATATTTTTCAGGAGGTTTTTAATTACTTTATATTTTCTAGGAGAATAGTTTGGAAATAATCAAACGGGTAAAAATGAAAAGTAGCCTTTAATTTATGTATTTAAATATTTTTCTTAAGGAGTGTATCATACCCCCAACCAGGGGAGAAGCTAGCTTGAGACCAAGGGTTCATCTAAACTAGCTTCTTTGACGAAAATTACACTATTTCTATATGGTTAAAATTATTTTCACTACAACAAAAATACCTTTTAGTGGCAATAAATATATAGATTAACAAAGAGTGCTAAAACTTTTACCAGCATTAGTTAATTGACATTAGATCCAATGTCGCTAAAGGCTTTAAGGACATATACAAAGAGTACTAATTGCCGCTAAAAGTACATATTTAGTGACAATTAAGTTATTGCCGTTAATTAATTGCCACTAAAAATCATTTTTGATTTAGTGTTTTCATGTATATGTAGTAGATGTCGAGCCCCCTTTCGACTGGTTCAAGTGCTTATTTCTTCAGATTTTGAATTTCTTAATGAAAATTCTGACTTCGCTACTGCCCCAACAATTTACTTAATATGAACAAGATGGAATACTCACTTAAAGAAAACATGCATTGTTAGTCACCACCGTCTCAAATTAGTTGTCATATTTCGCGTCACCTTATAATAAATTGATGTACTATGATCTTGATTTTGCTTTTCTTCAATCATTCAGCTCAGAGTCTCAGAAGCAATGACAAATGCACCAATAATTCTGACTCTTGATTGTGACATGTACTCAAATGATCCTCAAACGCCTCAGCGCGTCCTTTGTTACTTTTGTGATCCTTCAATTAGGTCTAAATTAGGGTATGTTCAGTTCCCTCAACGATATCATGGACTCAACGACGATGATTTATATGGTGGTGATAATGTACGTACATTCCGAATTTCACCTTCAGGCTTGGATGGTCTTGGTGGCCCTGATAACTGTGGAACTGGCTGTTTTTTCAATCGTCGTGCTCTTTTTGGTAGCCCATCATCAGTTACATCACTAGAACACTCTGGAGATAGCCATACTCGAAGTATGGCTATCTCCAGTGTGTCAGTCGTTGAGATAGCTAGTCATGTTGCTAGCTGCAACTACGAGTACAACAACACCGAGTGGGGTACCAAGGTAAACTTTCTAAATAACAAACAAAATGCATTGTGTATGTTCTCATCATTTTGTTTGAGTTGATTTCTGAGATGGTCACTCAACTTACGACAGAATAAAAACTATTTTAGTTCAAAAATTCAAATGTTAGGGACTATTGTGGACCTTTTCTAATGAAAATTGAACGTACGTTTGAATTTTCAGGTGGGGATCAAGTATGGAACACTTGTAGAAGACATATACACAGGTTATATGATGCATTGTGAAGGGTGGGATTCAATATTTTGCGATACTGAAAGGCCTGCATTTTTAGGTGAAGTACCGATTAATTTAGAAGATGTACTAAGCCAGGTTAAAAGATGGGCTTTTGGACACCTTGAAGTTTTGTCCTGTAAATACAGTCCATTGACATTTGGAACCAAAGCTCTGGGAATTTTGAGGGCAAATTGCTACATACATTATGTTTTCTGGCCAATTTGGTGCATACCGGTCACTCTATATGCCTCCGTTCCACAACTAAGTCTCCTCAACAATATTTCCATCTTTCCCAAGGTACAAAATTTGAATTCTCGTAGCCTGTTTGGTCAAACCTTCGAAATCTGCTTATTTCAGAAAGTGCTTGTTTGTAAGAAGTGCTTTTGGAAAAATACTTTTAGAGCGTAACAGTTTGTGTCTGACTAATCAGTTTGAAAAGACACTTTTGTTAGAAATAAAACAGTAAGTTGTGTTTGACCAAGGTTCCAAAAGTACTTTTGAGAAAAAAACTACATCAAGTTTCTCAAAAACTACTTTTGCTACTACTCGAAAGTATTCATTTTTCCCCTTAAAGCATGGACAAACACTGTAACTTTCTAAAATAAGCACTTTTAACTTTGCAGAAGCTTGACCAAACACGCTAGCCTAGTTTCCTCAATATGCTCATTTCATTCATTGGAACTTGTGACAGGTTTCTGATCCATGGTTCTTCTTGTATGTCTTCCTATTCTTTGGAGCCTATGCACATGATTTTGTACAGTTCATATTGTTCAAAGGTACAACGAAAAGGTGGTGGAACGACCAAAGAATGTGGTACGTGAAGGCATTGTCACCTTTTCTTTTCGCCTCAATAGAGTACCTAACAAAAAAGTTAGGCATCACGACAAAAGGATTCAACGTTACAAGCAAAGTAGTAGGGCAGGATGAAAGAAAAATGTATGATCAAAGCGTCTTCACATTTGGAATTCCTTCACCTATGTTTGTGCCATTAGCAACAGTATCGATCATCAATCTGATAGCATTTGTCAAAGGAATCATGACAGTAATCTTTAGGATGGAAAGTTTAGACGAATTATTCATCCAACTATTCATTGCCGGATTTGCAGTTGTCAATTGCTTGCCGATTTACGAGGCAATGTTACTTAGATCTGATCATGGTAGAATGCCTAAGAAAATAGTCATTACTTCCTCTGTTCTTGCTGGGGTGCTCTGCATTGCATTTTCCTTAATTGTAAGTTGAAATTCCCTTTGTTGTAAAAATAATGTCAACAAATTTAGTTTTCTTTAAAATTATAATAATCAAAAAGCCCACCATGTTGGTGGGGTCCCGTGGGGGTTAGGCAATGTTGATAATAAAAAGAAGATGAGTACACTAAGGAGGATATAAACCTTAACCTCGAAAACATGATGAAGAATATATAATAAGACTCATTCTTGTGTACACATGATAAAAAAAGAGGTTGTCTAACTTGGAGGACACCTCAATTATTATTCTTGTAAATTGATTCAAATAATGACTTAATTTGGTAAAAAATTTGAATTACTTTAACTACGATCACCCATGTTTAAGTTTAACTGTCCTTTCTCAAACGTTGTGCAAAATGCATACCATGGCTGAGGTAAAATTACTTTGGGAAATTGAGTATTTGATAGGATATACTTACATACCTGTTGAATAATATACTTGCAAAATATGTGAGTGTGTGTTTGTAAAGATACGGCATTTATGTCTAGATCAATCCCAAAAGCTAGTTCACGTGATGACCAAGCTTATCACAAAGCTGACAAGTAACACGAGGAAGATTCATGTGGGTGTTTTGACCAGGCAGTTGAGCACCGGACTTGTTAGCAGCAGGTCTATCTATAGGCTTCGAGTTATTTCCTAGACGCGAAGCATGATTGGGTTGAGACCGATTGTTGTGAGGCGATGGTTTGGCAACAAAATTTGTTGTAAAGGAAGATGAGCGAATGAGATTCTACTCAAAATCAAGGAGCTTCTTATGAAGCTCTTCAAATGTCACTGGAGTTTCTTAGGCACGTAGAGCATGAAGGAAGAGCTCATCCGTTGAAATTTGAATTGAATTTTCTTGAATTACTGCTGAATTGTTTGAATTTCTGCAGCTGTGAAGTAATAGAGAGGTTACCCTTTTTGCATGTTGCTTAAAAACTCTCCAAGACTCATTGTACGAGGACGTGATGGTTTCGCATAGCTTGCTGCCAGATTTTGCCAAAGAGCACATGAAGATTTAGCATTAATGACAAAGGGAACAATATCAAAAGATAGAAAGGCAACAATGACACTTCAAACGAAATGGTCTTGTCGTTAATAAAAAGGTGTGGTCGTTGAATTTGGTGGTTGTTCGATAAAGTGGAGAAAATCATATGCAATGAGGATGGTTTCCCACGGGTATTTCCATGACTGATAATTTGTATTGTTGAGTTTTAGAGGTGTCTAAGCAACACCGTTGATATTAATGGTGAGAATTGTGGGAGAATTTGGTACAACTACAGAAGAATGTGTGGCAAAGGTGTTCTCAACGGAGGAATTGGTTGAGACCGTTGTTATTGGTAGCGGAAGAACAAAATGCAAAGAAAAAATGTGGGATACCATATAAATTTTAATTTACTGTTGGAGAGAAGTGTTCATTTTGTTAATATGTATGTGTATTTATATAAGAGAGTAAACAACAAATATGGAAAGAATCAACTAATAAAGTATTATGATCTTTTCCTAATCATAATAGAAACTAAATCACTAATGAGATACTAAGAAATTGAAGATCAATCAAGATATATCCTAATATCAGTTAAGAGATATCATTAATAGACGAAGTTGCTTGTTATGATAGTGGAGATGATTGGTAGTAGGATTGCATGCTTTAATGGTTGTGAAGGTTGTTGAGATGACAACAAATTGTGGCAATAATAGATATAATTATACTGTTGGAGGTGATATGTGTGATAGCGACAGTAGTAGTAATAGTGATAGCTGTTAGTGGTGATTGTGATGGTAACGGTGATTGGGGGTTGGCAATAGGAATGATGTTTGACAATAGTAGTGATGGTGAAAAAAATTATCTATACAAACACCTTTTAATGATATTAAAACTTGTTCAAGATCTTAATCATTAAAACTTATTCAAATCAAATAAATATTAAAATTTAATATAAATAAATATATTTTAATAATCTAAAATTTAATTTATTCAAATTCACACCTCCACTAAATACAAATAAATAATGCCTAAATTGATTAGCGTAGGAAATCTCCTATTACAAGAGAAATATTTTAAAAAGACTACAATGTTTTTGTTAAATTAAAAACATTCAGTAGATTGCACGCAACAACTCTTGTTTCCTAAAAAAAAATCAAAACAATTGGAAAAAAAAATTCATTGATAGTTTGTCCAAATATGCTTTTATGGTTAATAGTTTAGCTTAAAGATGTCCCTATTATATTTAATTAGGTAAAAAATGTATTTGTTTTTCCTAATAAACATATCATTATTTTTAACACATATATTTCTAAAATATTTTCTTGTTTTTTTCCAAGTCCTTTTAAATAATAAAAAAGTGGGAAGTATTTTTTTTCTTCTTCTTAATCTCATCTTATCAATTAAAATAAAATAATGTATATAGTATTTTAATTGGTAATATATAGGCCTCACATTAAGAAATAAAAATATTTTTTAATTTTATTAAGAATTTTTGTTATTGTTAATCTAAATGAAATATTAATGATAAACTATTGTGTTATAACCTATATTATCGATAAATACATGTGGTTATTTTATTTTAATTGATAAAATACATTAACAAAAAGATTATTTTATACTTTTTTATTAGTTAAAGATTTTTAAAAATTAATAATAAAAAAATATTATTTAAGAATAACCTTTTTTATTATTAGAAGAAGAATGTGTTTAAAAAAACATAGTATCCAGTTTGTCCAGTGGAGCTTTCATCTACTGACATCTGTCCCATAATGATCTAAAGGTCAAAAATAATGTGATCAAAATAACCTCTTAAACCATGGTTAAGTTTACTAAAACTTTTTTGGCTTACTATCAATTTCTCAAGATAGTAAATGAATCTGAGAATGCCGCTGAAAATTTTCTGCTAATTACACAGATCCGAAAATTTTGGTGCAGGATTTTCTTTTGCTGGGAAAAAGATTTTCTATGTATATTGCCTAATATCAACAATTGCAGTACAAATTTGTTGCTCAATAATAATGTTGTTCAGTTTTTTCATTTTTGCTATTTGAAAAAAAACAGGGAACATGATAATTATGAACATATTTATTACATAATTTGTTTTCTTGCTTAACTAAAAAAACAGGAATGATATCGTTATGAACATGGGAAGAAAATTACACCGTTTATACATGATTAAAATTACTTTTATGTATGTTTAGTAAATGTTGAACCCCTTTAACCTTTTTGTTTGTTTACTTTTTATATTTCAAACACAAAGAAGAAGAAGAAGAAGTTGGATATATGAAGAAATCTGGGGAGAGTTACTAAATAATATGAAAAAAATGCAACATTTAATTTGAAAGAGGCTGGATTTAGGGGTGGAAATTGATTACATTTGTAGATTTACACAATGAAATTTAAAATTATTTTAATTTTTATCGCCGGATAGAGAAAACGGAGCAGTGATTGAGTAAGATTCTCTTCTATATACATGTTGTCAACATGGGAAATAAATAAATTTTAACAATACTTTCGCTGAACCATGATTTAACCATGATTTAAGAGGTTAATTTGATTAACTATTTACTTACCTTTAGATTATTAAGGGCATGTTTGGAAGGACACCCTAGTAATTGGATTTGGTGTAATTACACTGTCTTGTCCTGTTTGGAAGGACATGTAATTACTTGGTAAGTAGGTAATTGGTGTAATTGGCAGGGGTAATTACACTCTACAATTCACAGGCAGAGGCTGTGAATTGCTGGTAATTACATGGTGTAATTACCACCTGATTACTTTTTCATTTTTTTTTATTTCTATTTTTATTTTTTTGTTTTAATTTTTTTACTTCTATTATTTTAATTTCTTTTTATTTTTATTTTTATTATTCTAAAAATTTGCAAAAGTCTATTTTATATTTTATATTAGAGGAAATACATAGTTACCCCATGGAACTTATATCTTATTTTTAAGTAGACACCTTAAGTTTGCGGGGTCCTATTACCCCACGAAACCATCCAAAAACACAATAAATACATCATTTTTTCACCATCAGTGCTCTCAATCCAAGAGCGTGTGCCACACCTCCAACCCATTTAACAAAGGCCGGATTTTATCCTAACCCATTCATTTTTTAACTTATAACCCAAATCCTAAGAAACTTCCAACCCATTTCACTTTCACCTACCCTCGTCTCTCTCTTCGACTGATCAAAACCCTAAGAAACTTCATGAGGCGAAGCTAGTTGGTAACATTGCTGGTTGAAATTTGTTGAATAGTGGTGTCGGAACGAAGAAGTGAAGGCTCATAGGTTAGTTATTTGAAAATTCTTTGAAAAAGAGTTTATTTTACATTGTAAGTGAATTTTGTAGTGATTTATATATTTTGAAAATGGGTTTTATTGAAAAGTCAAAAATTCGAAGGTTGTTGATGGATTAATGTAGTACTCATTTTGTGAAAGTGAATCAAAGTTAGAGAGATATTGCAGTCCTTACTCGCCGTGGCACTGTAGCAAGCATCAATGACTGTCAATGGTGTTGAATTAATTTTGGGGAAGATGGGTCTTTATTTTAAAATAAAGACTTCAATTTACAATGCCACATGGCTGCTTTATATTGGTTTGGGGTTGTTTTTTAAAATACTCACGCGCCCCGAAAACGTGAAAACACAGCAGATGTGTAAGCGGGTCAAAATGCTATATTTAGTCTGGTCGAAAATAGTTAAATGGGGTAATAGGACTTCCGCAAACTTTAAGTGTCTACTTCAAAATAAGGTCTAAGTTCAATGGGGACTTTATGTATTTATATTTCATATTTTATTCTTGTTCTCAACCTTACTTTACGTGATTCTATGTAATTTTCTTGTATTATCTATTTCTTTATGCCATGTTTATTTTCTCATTAGCATAATTTTATTAGTATTCTAATTTTAAAATTAAAATAGAATTTATTGTTAAGTAAGGTTATAGACTTACGTTTTCTTTATTATGAAGAAATAAAAAATAAATCATATTTATTGCTATGTTGAAATTTGTTATAAGAGTATTATGTTAAATTTTTTGTTTTGAATTTATTACTTATGTTATATTTTCAGTTTCATTTGTTTTAGTAATATTGAATTTACATTGCACGTCATTTTTTAATTAGACTTGATAGATTATATTTTTATCAAACATTTAATAATTTATGATATTTTATTTATATATTACTATTCTTTTTATCAAACATGCATTTCACAATGTTCGTAAAAACTTCATACTTTTAGTTGTTACGATCAATTCAATTGAAATATATTAATTTGAAAAAATATAAATCAATTATTTTTTCATAATATTAGTTACAGTAAATATGTTTATTACTTAATATATTTTCAAAAAAGAATATATATCTTAAATATTTAATTTAATGTCATTTATAAAATTTCTTATTGTCTAGTATAAATTTTAAATGATTAATTTTTATTTTTAAAATTTATTATAATTTTATGATTGCAATTGTGCATCCAAACCGAGCATGTGTAATTACACTGTGGCATCCAAACAAGACATATGTAATTACAGTGTAATTACACTGTGGCAACTAAATAGGTCAGTGTAATTATTAGACTATGTAATTACTAAGTTGGTAATTACTACTCTAATAATTACACCAATTTCAATTACCTTATGACTTTCCAAACAGACCAATCAGTAGATTAAAGACCCACTGGACAAACTGAATACTCATTATACTGGAGGGGAGCCTAGTCCCAACAATTCCAAATAGATACATATTAATTTAATCTTATTAACATATATCAAATAATATACTAAAATTTAAATAAGTTAATTTTTTTTACCTAATACTTTTTATATTTTTGTTTGAAAGCTACCTACTCAAGTGGATCCAAGATGAAAAGGTAATCAACTTTTGCCGACATCTAATAAAATGAAACGTCTAAAATAATTCACCTCCATTTAATTAAAAAAAAAGTAGGTATAATTACAAAGAAAACTTCAAAAATAATCATAACCACCTATGAATTATATACTAAAATAATACTAAAATAATAAAATACTACTAAAGGAAAAAGAATGTGGACATCAAACAACTAAAACCATTTGCATGCTAAACTTCTTAACCAATTTCCTCAATTTAATATCCTGTTGGAAACTTGCAACTGCCATATTCTGCAATAAGAAAACAAAATTAATATTTAGTAAATTACAAAAACAAAATAAAAAAAATTAACTTCTAAAACAAAAATGAAAATATTACGAAGCCACCTATTTTATTGAGCCGCGCTTGTGAATACTTACTTGGATGTTGAGTGACGACGTAAGCAGCTCCTTTGAAATCGCACGTGCCAGTCCCACGTGCTTTCTTTTGATAATAACTATTGAACGCATAAGAAGCATGTGCCGCAAGTGTATCAGGATTATGACACGTGGCACCCTGCTGAATCGGACGGCAATCAGCTCCTCCTTCTCCACAAGCATAGTCCAACGCCGCTTGGAGCTGCTCCGCCCCAGTTTTCTCATTCGCCACACACCACGTGTTCACCATCTTACTCTCCTCCACACCGCCGCCAACAACCGGCGCCGGAGTCGGAGTAGACGACGGAGACGGTACCGGAGTCTTCACCACCTGGGTTTTACTTCCATTATTAGGCCCGGCCTCTAAACCTTCTTGTGTAAGCGTAATATCGTAAACCTTTTCTTTAGTAGGATAGAAAAGCCCGTAGTTTCGTTCTGAGACGGGCCCGGGCTTTTGATTCTCATTGAACAAAGCGAATAAATAGACGTTAAGAGGTTCATTGGGCTTTAAAGGGGTCCCACTTCCAGTAAGCACTCTTTTTACCAGATTACCGTTGTAAGCAGCAGCATTGTCAGCACTTGCACCAGTCTCGTTTTCATCGCCTTTTGAAGGCCATCCAGTTTCAGTAATCTCCATTTTCACATCATCGAAATTCAAAGCTTTCATTGCAGCATAAACAGCATCAATCTGAGCTTCGAAAAGGCTTTTATAAACAAGTCCATTGTTTGGATCAGTTACACCTTTATTATCCCTAAACAAAGCATAATCCAAAGAAATCGTATCCGTATTCGCTACATAAGCAAAAAATGGATAAATATTAACAGCTAAGAAAGAACCCGATTGTTTGAGGAAACTCAACATCGGTTTAATAACCGGTTCGATTAGATCCGTTTTGAATGAACCAGAAGATGAAGGATAAGAATTTTGCAGAGCACTCAGAGCAACAGGGGATGAAACTTTGATAGACGAAGCGACGCCGTATTTAACAAGAGATGCGTAAACATTTTTCATGGCGGGTACTAGAAATTTGGTTGTATTTTTTGGATCTACAAAAACTTCATTTCCAACAGCTATGGATTCTATATTTGTTTTTGGATAATAACGAAGAATATTCGATTGAACCCATGAATCAGTAAAAGACTGCTTCGAGGCTGCATCAGAGAGCTGCTCGTTAGGAAGTGCAACAGTAACTGATATATTGGATCCAGAAAGAGCTGTAAGAACAGCAGAATCAGTATCGTAAAGCTTTACACGATTAATGCCTTGGGATTTGAGGAGTTGAACAACTTCTGATGGAGTCGGAAGATTATTAGCAATACGGCCATAATTGATACCGATTGAACCAGAATTTGCAATAGATAGCAAAGAGAGAAGAACGAAGAGGGAAGTTAATGTAGTAAAAGAGGCCATTGCTGTGGATGTAAGGAGAAAAGAGAGCAATGAGAAAGAAAGTGGATATTTGTGTACTTGGTGATTATGGTTGAGTTTTTATAGAGAAAAAGAAGCGAAAGATTTGGCAGTAAGGAAGAAAGAGTCGTGCATGTTGTTAATGGGGGGTAGAGGGGATGTTAGTGGTTAAAAATAAAGGGAGTGGGTTTGAAAAAATTAACAAAACGTGGTGAAAGTGGGGTCACCTATACAACTTCATTAATTTTACATTAAATATTTAAATAAGTTATTATGTAAGAATCAAGATAATAAGGATTTTATTTTCCTTATGAGGTTAGATATTATTTTTATTAAGTTATGATTTTTTTTTTAATTGTTCTTCCGATAAAACGATAGATCTCATCTATTATTTCTAATAATAAAAACTTGTGGAATTGATGGATGAGGCTATGTATTTTTACTAAATTATTTTATTAATAATATTTTTAAAATTTTAATATAATTAGTACTTTACCTCTGTTCAATAATAATTGTCCACTATTGACTTTGCACATTTCTTAAGAAATTATAAATAGAAGGATAATTTTACTATATCACCATTTGAATATAATAAATACAATATCTTAAAAAATTTAATAGAGAAATGATTATAATTAATGATAAGGATAAATTAAGAACTAAGTGTAAAATTATCTATTAATTTCATAAAGTGGACAAGTATTATTCAGCATCCTAAAATAGTATAGTGGACAATTATTGTTGAATCAAAAGAGTATTATTTTACATAATTATTTTATATAATAGATTCGTTTGGTATGAGAATGAAGTTATCCTATGCGTCGAGATATTTCATCATATTTATGGGATAACTTGTTTTATTATTATAGTACAAATAGTGAGATGAATAATTATGTAACTGATTATTATCCCTAACAAATATAGTATAAAATAATCTTTATATTATCTCTCGAGATTATTATATCTTATCACGTACCAAATGATCTCTAAAATAGTATGAAAAAAATATTTTAATACATTCTTCATATCTTTAATTTTATATTATAAGATAAAAAAAATATTAAGTTCAAACTCTGTATCAATTACAACAAATTATCTCGTATTTTAATATAGATTATTTTTGTTCAAGAAAATATTCTTATCAATTAAACTGTTATCCATCATGTACTTGCAATTTATATTGTATGCACTACCATATAGAAAATATTTATATAACTACTCAATTATTGGGTAGTTATATTTTTAAAAAAATATATGAGCATTATTATATTAATTGATCCTTTGACAAAAAAATGGCAAGTAATACATTATTACAAGTTAAAATTTACTACTATTATAAAAGAATCTCGACAATTATTAGGTGATAATAGAAAAATCACTTGATAAATATTAATTGATACTAATATATTATAATACTTTTACTTAGAATAAATAATTATTTCTTTTATTCCTTCTCCTTTCCCAAATTTGCCGTACAATTTCAAACCTCAATCCAATCCTTAGTGAAAATAATTCTACTGTGAATTGTACACATTTTAGGTAAAATTACAAGATATATCTTGAGTATGCATTTTTCTCCTTAATGAGATAATTTAATATCATTTAATTAATAACACTTAAAATAAATTTGTGAACAAATATTGAACCTGTGCATAATACGGAATCTTCTTAACTAATATATATATATATATATATATATATATAATCAGTTGGTGACAAATTATAATCTTCTCATTTTTTACTTCTGAGAAACGCTCAAAGTTCGGAGCATTTCTCGCATTTGGTACTCCGCTTTGTCGACATATAGCCACATATTGTATTTTCCAAAACAAATTAATTCAGAATTTTTACTTAGTGATTTGAAAAATAAAAGGTAATACAATCTTTGAGAATTGAACTTTGGTTTTTAATTTGGGGTGTATTTTAATTGTACGCACATACACACACACACACATATATATATATATAAAGGTTACGGGTTCAAGTCTTAAAAACTGCCTCTGGCAGAAATACAAGATAAGATTGCATATAATAGACCCTTATGTTCGAACCCTTCTCCTGACCCTACACATAGCTAGAGTTTTAGTGCACATAGCTGCCCTTATATAAAACACTAAACATCTATCCTACATATATACAACAATTTTCATCGAGAGAATTTAGATGAACACCTGCCGCCCCCTAAATCCGCCCCATTAATGTGTAGCCAATGTAGGAACAACATATCATGCTGAGATATTCAATAGCTAATGAATTAGGAACTACAAAGTTCAATCAATGCGGCACTATTAATTAAGGAGCTAAGTTATAGTACTCCGTATTTTACTAATGTAAATAATACGTACTAAATTACCATTTTTATCAAGTTACTAATTAATATATACCAAAATATTTACTTACAATTACTATATAGATAACTTAGCAATTAATAATGGTAGGCATAATATCATAATGTTATATTGTTCAGTTACTAATTGTTATTTTTATAACTATTCGTTATTTATTGTACTTTCTTATTACTTTTCATGAAATCCATTTTCTTAAGCTGATAAGTAGAAATAAAATCTACGTACAAGTTCGATCAATTAATCAAAGTCTGAACGTCTTGATTGAATGTGGCTCCACTCTTGGCCTGAAATGATTTTATGTCGACAAAAGAAAATAGATACACGTATTTAATTCGATCCTATTTTCGGTGGCCTACTTTGACAATTTCTTTGGTTGGTTTGCCAAATATTCAATGCTGCTTCATTAATTCCACAAAAAATGGACCTAGAATTATTAGTCTACTTTCTCCTGATCATATTATATGGTGTTTTTAATTTAAGTTATACAATTTTTATATAATTGAGAAATTATATTAAATTAATATTATTTAATTAAAGATTACTTAGTGAAGATATTTTTATTTTTTATGAAAGAGTAATTTCTTAATTAAAAGTATGTCTAAACTAAAAATATCATATAATACATATCAAAGAAAATACCTTTTAAAACGTCGTTATATAGTGTAAGAAAGAGTCTTTTGGGAATGTGGTGAATTAGGTTAGGAGCGCGCAAGACATGCACATTAAAATACCTATACGCATTGAGTGTTGACAAATAAAAATTAGTTTCAATTGTTACAATTAAAAGTTAAAATATCAATAACAACAATATATTTTTTGTATTCTTTAATTTGATGTTAATCTGATATTAAATTACGGTAAGAACTTATTGCATGAGTATTTGTAACAAACTAATACACCATATTTAGTAGCTGTCAGAATTTCAACTAAAGAGGTGTTAAAATACAAAGAAGTAAAAGCCAAGAAGTGTCTACGTACATAAAAGAGGTGTTAAAATACAAAGAAGTAAAAGCCAAAGAGTGTCTACGTACAGAGTATAATTTTCTTAATGAATGAATGTCGCCTAAAGTATATACGACTCCGCCACTGACCATATCATATTTAAGAGATTTGATGAAGTAAATATCTATATTTGTTTAATAATAATTAAGTAAAAGAACTCTATATTTAAATACATAACATGTATAAATTGATTTAATACAAACAAATACTAGGTATGAATTAATTTATACCTTAAAAAAATTGGTGTAATGTATGATGACCAACTCGCAGAAAATGCGGAGAAGCAACCAACGATGCGATTAACTCTTTTCCCATTACTAACGAGCCTTGTGATGGAGTGTTAAGTACTTAATCATTTTTAATTAGAGATTTTGATTTAGTCGCCTTAGAGTATAGAGTCACTTTTGTGAAAATAACGTTTTATTTTCAATATGAGACTTTCTGACACGAATTCAAATTTAATTGAACTCCAATATAAATATCAAACACCAGACTCTTTTCCCATTTACCTCTATATGTCAAATAGGGGGTAATGATCATTATGAAATTGAAAAGAAGAGCAAATTATATTTGTTTTAAAAGTGGTGTATTTTCACCCCAATATGAACGTTGGACTTTTCCAGCTGTAGTTGTTTATAATGGTTAATGATAAGATAAAATATAAAGAATCTAAGGAAGTAGGCAGTAGGCAGTAGGTGACAACTTCCCAACCCCACACCCTTGTACCGTGTGTTAAGTAACGGCTCCCAACAATTTCATGACACACTCATTCTTTGTTTGTCGTTATAAAACTCTCAAATCTTGACATTGACACAACGGCTTCCGACTTCATACTATTTCCAAGACCTTGCTTAATTTGAATACATATATAAATATCAATATGTACATTAATGGTAATTATTGCAAATAATGACTAATGTTGTTGATAATTGTAAATGATGGTTAATGGTGATCATGACGATTGATTTTGGTGATTGACGATAGTGATGATTGTGATTGAGCTGATGATGGTGGTGGTGGATCAGTGGCAAATACTTGAGGGTGGTTGTGGATCAGTGGCAGCGTCAAATATACTCGAGGAGTGTCAACCGACACCCCTTCATCGAAAAATTACACTGTGTAGCTAGGTATATATATACTACTTGATACCCTTTGACTTTTACCTGATTTTATCTTTTTATTTTGACATCCTTTAGTGAAAATTTTGATTTCGCGTGATAGTGATTGATGGTGAGGATAGTTATGGATGAAATGGTGGTTATGTGTCGTGGATGAAAATAGATAGAGTAGGAGTAAAATGTCATCTTTGTAGAATTTTTAAATAAGCATCTTAGTGATACGAAGACTTTAATTTGTTATGGATCTTAATCATTCAGACTTATCCATTAAGTGGTTGTAAAATAAGAAAAGACAAATGCACTTAATGATTAAGATTTAAATGATTAACATCCAGACCTTGAAAATAAACATACTTAAACGAGTGAGATCTGAATAATTAAGATTAACACCTTCGTTAAATGCAAACAAATGATGCCTTAGTCTTTTTTATCAAGTCACTAATAACAACATATTGGATCCGAACTAGGGGTGAAAAAATCAAACTTAATCCGTCCAACCCGTTCAAATTTGAACCCATTCATTTATTAGCTCAATGCATTTCATCTTAATCCATTCCAATCTACT